AATTAGTCCTCATTGGAAACCAAACCAAAAACCAAGCTCATTGCCATGGAGTTGATTCTGAAGCAATGCAATCTTAGAGGGCAGGGTACAACTGCCCCATGGGTTTCCAAGGTTGTAACTCCTCACAGGAGTAGAAAGCCTCATCTTTTTGCTGGAGGAATGTGGGGAGAAGTCAGACACTTGCTGCCAGACTGCTGTCTCATCCCACAGCAGGGCTGGGCCTGCTCCCTGCTGCTGGGGACAATGGCCTACTTCTCTCTGAAGCTTTGGGACCATTAGCTTGGTTCCTCTAGGTGGGGTTTACACCCTACTGATAATGTTCCTATGGAGACCCAGAGACCACCCTCTCATTGCTGTGTAACCTATAGTGCAGCCCCTTCCTGTGACGTATGTCTTTACCTGTAATTAGTGGGCTGGATTGCCCCCAAAAAGGTATATAGGTGTGAGTCAGCAGAACTTCTCTCTCTGACTCTCTGACCCTGAGCTCCTTGCTGCTCACTCCCTGCTCAGTCCCCTCTCCCTTGTTCCCCTTCCCTCCTTCCCTTCCCCCTCTCTCCACGTGGACCACCAAGCTGGGCTGAGGTGAGCAATGTTGCTATGTATCATGCCTGACTGTATTATTGTATTATCTCTCATGCTCTCTATGACTTTAATATAATGCTTATGTATCTCAACCGTACAATTGTGCATTACTGAACCCAGAGGTAGTATTACTGAACCAGTGAGTTCAAGCAGCGGGTGGGGGCTGGCACCTCACCCCCCAGCAACAATTTTATATTTAATACTACAGAGGAACAAGCTAGTGGTTTTGAACTGCTGACCTTGTGGTTAGCAGCCCAATGCATAACCCTTTAACCACCAGGGCTCCCTTTGTTGGAGAGAATTGTAGTTTGAACACATTAAAAGTTAACATCCCACACAACAATAAGGATAATCAAGAAAGAAGCCCCATATTTTTCTACTTATAAAAATATTTTTCTACTTATAAAAATCCCTTATTGGAAATAGAGGAAAGAAGTAGGAGGCAAAAGCTATTTATAGAGGTATCCTATAGGTATGTATATATGTAAATATATTCATTTATAATGAAAGGGATAGAGGCCAATGTACGTATATTTATATGTTAATTATTAAGATAGCAGACTGACTTTGGGTCTCTACTCAAGGCCTCCCTTAACACAAGAGAGCTTTGATCTAATAACCTGGTACTCTTTGATACTCATGGGAGCATGAGCAAATGTGATGAAGAAAGCAGATGGTGCCTAGCTATCAAAAGATGTAGCATCTGAGATCTTAAAGGCTTGAAGTTAAACAAGCAGCCATATTACAGGGAAGCAAATAAGCCCACCAGTCTGTGTGATCATGAGGTGTCAATGGGAACAAGTATCAAGTATCAAAAGATCCAAAACAATTATATCTATGTGAAAGAGGAGGGTTGGAGTGGAGACCCAAAGTCCATCTATAGATGAATGTACCTGCCCAAACGGAGTGGTTACAAGGAAGGGATAACTCAACCAGGGTGCAGTATAGTACTGATGAAACACACATCATTCCTCTAGTTCCAGAATGCTTCCTCCCCACCAATACTATGACTCAGTTCTACCTTACAAATCCTGCTAGACCAGAGTGCACACATGTCTACTTAGATAAGATAGGTGGAATAAACAATCTGGAGGAGAAAACAACAAGACCAATGGTTCCAGGGGGGACATGGGAGAGAGGGAGGCAGGGGAAAGGAAAGGGGGTGCCAACAAACCCAGGGACAAGAGCACAACAAGTGATCTCAAATCAATGGCGAGGAAGCCATAGGATGCTTGGTGGGGCTTGATTAAGTGCAATGTAGCCAAGAGGAATTACTGAAACCCAAATGAAAGTTGATAGTGGGACAAGAGGAAACTAAAAGGAAATAGAGGAAAGAACAAGAAGGCAAAGGATATTTATGAGGTCTAAATGACAAGCATGTATATATGTAAATATATTTATATATAATGATAGGGAAATAGATCTATGTACATATATTTATATGTTAAGTACTAAGGTAGTAGACGGACATTGGGTCTCTATTCAAGTACTCCCTTAACTCAAGAACACTTTGTTCTAATAGCCCAGAATTTTGTGATGCTCACCTTCCCAACACTAAATGGGTGCAAGACTAAATGGATGCAAAAGCGAATGTGGTAGAGAAAGCTGATGGTGCCTGGTTATCATAAGATATAGCATCTGGGGTCTTAAAGACTTGAAGATAAACAAACGGCCATCTAGCTGAGAAGCAACAAAGCCCACATGGAAGAAGCTCAACAGTCTGAGTGATCATGAGGTGTCCATGGGATCAGATATCAGGCAACAAAGAACCAGAACAAAAGATCATATCGATGTGAATGAGGGGGAGAGTAGAGTGGAGCCCCAATGCCCATCTGTAGACAATTGGACATCCCCTCACACGAAGGTCACAAGGAAGAGATGAGTCAGTCAGGGTGCAGTATATATAGAAACCGATGAAACTTACAACTTTCCTCCGGTTCTTCAATGCTTCCTCCCCCCACTATCATGACCCCAATTCTACCTTACAAATCTGGCTAGACCAGAGCATGCACACTGCTACAGATAAGAGCTTGCAACACAGGGACTCCAGGACAGATAAACTCCTCAGGACCAATAATGAGCGTAGCGATACCAGGAGGGGAAGGGGAAAGTAGGGGAAAGAAGGTGGAACTGAACACAATGATCGACATAAGACTCCCTCCTAGGGGGATGAACAACAGAAAAGTGGGTGGGGGGAGATAGCAATCAGTGTAAAACATGAAAAAAATTATAAATCATAAAATTATAAATTATCAAGGGTTCATGAGGGAGGGAGGAAAATAAGCTGATACCAAAGGCTGACATAGAAAGAAAATGTTTTGAAAATGATGATGGCAAATGTGCTTGACACAGTGGATGGATGGTGATAAGATCTGTAAGAGCCCCCAGTAAAATGATTCTAAAAAACAGAAAGAAAGAGCTCTCGACACATGGAATCCAGGACAGCTAAAATCTTCAGGAACAGTAGTGGGAGTAATGATCTCACGAGGGTAGGAGGATGGTGGGGGAGGGTGGAAAGGGGGAGAAATGGGGAACCCATCACAAGGTTGGATATACAGCCCATGGGGGCGGTGGGGATAACAGAAAGGTGAGTGAAGGGAGACAATGGACAGTGTAAGACACGAAATAACAATAATAATATATAATTGACCAAGGATTCCGGAGGATGGGGGAGGGAGGGGAAAAAAGAGGAGCTGATACCAAGGGCTCAAGTAGGAAAAAATTGTTTTGTAAATGTTGATGGCAATATATGTACAAGTGTGCTTAATACTATTGAATGATGGATTATTATAAGATATGTAAGAGCCCTCCAATAAAATAATTAAAAATAATAATGATAATTCCCTTGTTGGGATGCTATAAGTGTGTCTGGGGTAATGGCAGCCGCACTCTGACAGCCAGTCTGCTTCTCCCTCTGAGAGAGAGAGCTAGAGAGAAAAAGAAAAGGAGGTGATCCCAAAACAAGTCTTTCAACATGTGCACAAAATTTTGAGATGAAAACCAGGACATTTTGGAGAAAAGTTAGCTCCTAGAGGGCTTCTGTATTCGCCCATTCAATCTTACTGCTTACTTCCCTCAGGGGGTGGTTTGATGGAAAACTTTGTAAAGTGCTGCTATGATATTTTCTTACTAATTAGAACAGGAACTAGTTTGTATGTGTGGCAGTTATATAGTCATTTGTCAATTTGAGAGGATTAAGAGTCAAGGGGTGGAGTCTAGTCTGTCAATCGGGTCATAGCCAATGAGGCCTCTGTGTGGGCATGGCCTTCTGACGATTCTGGGAACTCCTGCTTTCCTCCTTGGAGGTGGGAGACACTCTCTCTATTCACTCCCTGAGAGACGCTCTACTGACAAGACACATGGGCTTTGCTGGCGGCAGTGAGAGCCCTGACCTGGAGAAGCCACGCAGACCCTGCCAGCACTGAGGTGCTTCCAACTGGCACTGGATCCACAGGACTATCGACCCACTGGCCTGTGATCCTCCTGCATTCAGCATCATTGCATGTATTTTGTGAGTCTGAAGAGGAATTTACAGACTGGTATCAGACATATGGGCTAATATTGGACTTATGGACTTGATCTGGACTGGGCTCAGATGTTTTCTCAATATTCAATTGCTCTTGTATGTAAAGCCCTTTCTTATACACTTATGAGTCTCCCTGGATTTGTTTCTCTAGTCTACCGGGTCTAACACAGTATGAGCTTTCAAATGTACTTACAAGTAGGTTGATAGACAATGAAAAAATATTTTGCAGATGAGGAAACACTAAAAAGCACACAGTTAATCAAGTGGAAGGGAGAACGGGGTCTGTCATCAGCTCACGGAAACGTGAACATTTTTAATACAAGTCTTTCAGGGAGGCCATAGTTGGATATCTAGAGTACTTGAGGAGCCAGTTACCCTGGTCCTTTCTGCTTTCCCTTCAGCCTCAGTGAAGATGGTCAAACACGAAGCCCTACTGCTCCGTAGTCAAGGGATGAACATGCGACCGGAAGTGGATCAGTAGGTCTTCTCCTCTTGAGAGGAGAGAGGCTATCACCGAAGAAGAGAGGAGAAGGCCCTTCCTTGGGTAGTCGGAGAACCCGGGGCAGCTTGGTCCCTCTCCGTTACAGCTGCTGCCTGGGACCCCGCAGCGGTCCTTCCCCTCTCGTACTGTGAGCTCCGCCCACCCCTGTGCTTTAAGTTCGAGTCGCTGGCTTTACTTGCGAATGGCAAAAGGCCTCAAGCGCAGACCTACCTGGCCCCAGATTCGTAGATAAATCATCTGCACCTTGTGCACGTGAGAAAATCAACTTCTCTGCTCGGCAAGAAGTTAGCCGTGTGGTGATTTTATGCAGGCATTTATTATTTGGTCTAGACTTTACAGAAGACACAAATGGCTTTTACAATGGGAGGAATCTGCTGTCCTGTTGCTCCTTACCCCTCTCTCCCCCCAGCCCCCGCTTATCCTAACCCTCAGTTTATTTTTAAAAACTTACAAAAGGGATTCTTGCCTCGCTACATGCCCACTAAATTTCTGCGTTAAGAGCATGAACATCCATTCATAGGCTGTCAAGAGAGCTCCTGCTTAATCTATTTCATAATCATAGTCATCATCATCCACGGGGATTCTGGTGCTGGGGTGATCTTCGGGCTTTGCTTTCTTCTTCGGCTCTCTGGTTTTCTCGGCCAGGTGTAAGTGATGCTCACATTGCCTCATGATCTTCTTGGAAGACATCCAGCTCTCCCCTTGCCGCTCAGCTGGTGCCGCACACTGTCCGCCCCTCACATCTGTGCCCCTGGCCTTCAGGACCTCCCTGGCCCTGAGGAGGCTGCAGGTGCAGTTCCAGGGGTTTCCATCCAGGTAGAGGTGTCTGAGGCGGGGCAGGCCCTCCAGCGCTTTGAAGTCTAAGGCAGAGATCTTGTTGTTCCTCAGGTTTAGAACCTGGAGCTGCTTAAGATCCTTGAGCTCCCGCTCGGCAATGTCCTGGATGGCATTCCCTTTGAGGTCCAGCCTGGCTAAGGTCCCCGGGAGCCTGCAAAGGCATGGGAAGGGATGTGAGAACAGGCTACAACCACCATGCCACAACTGCCAAGCCGCCGCGAATGATGTAACAGCTGCCTTTGCTGGACAGTTCTGTCCCTGTGACCCTAGGAAACAAGCGTCATCTTAAACAAAGTGAATGGTGACCACAAGCCTCAGCCTTCTTCCCTAGTGTTCAGCTTTCCTCCGAGGTCTGGTGTAACGCTGACGTGTCAGTTCTGTACATGAAAATCTGTGTTCTGCCCACTGCTACCCGGACAACGGAGTAAAAGCTCCAACTTCTGAGGTTCACAGCAGTCATCGAATCAACAAGGTACAGAAAGAGAAGTGAGAATGCCAGGGAAAACGGAAAAAGTGCTTTGAATTCATATAAAATATAAGTTAAAAAATGATTCACTGCTTTTATTTTTCCAATTAGAAAATGGTTTTGACTTTAAGTTTTAAAATGTAGGGTTACTGAGGGGTGAGAATTATTGCTAGAAAGAACAAAATTCTCAAGATAGATTACCAGAGGAAAATTACTTCATATATGTTAGCCACTGCCATCCATGGAATCAACAAGCCAATGGGGTCACTCACAGTGACAGGACAGAGTAGAACTGGTTCTGTGAGTTTCCAAGTCTTTTAACTCTTTTTAAGCAGTTTTATTAGCACTTCATCCACATATCATACAATTCAATAACTCCCTCGTGTGAAGAAGACTTGTACAAGTGTCACCACCTTCTAGAGCATTTCCTTCTCCCCATGGCCACTGTTATCCCTGGAATTCACACCAACAGCAGTCTCCAATTCCACAACCTCTACTTGTATAACTCAGTGTCGTTGATCACCCTCTTCATGTTGCACAGCCATTACTGATATTTTTTCCTAAAACTTAACTCTTTAATAGAGGGAAGAGATAGCTCAGTCTTTCTCCTGGAGAACAGCTGGTGGTTTTGAAATGCTGGCATTAAGGTTAGCAACCCCTCATGTAACCACTATGCCACCAGGGCGAGCAGTTGATAATTAAATTCATTTGGAAGTGAATCGCCAGGACAACGTAATGTTGCACTCATGTCTACTAGCTTACCTAAGGTACATTACCGACAAATGTGCCAGAAACCTCACCTGAACAGCTGTTATTTTCAAGGAATGACGAGCTATCAATAGATTGTCATGGTAAAGGCAACGTAGTTGTGGCAAGATAAGGTCAAGTAAACCAAAGAAGAAACTCCATTCTTAAAACCTGGATTCCAACTTTGGCCCTCGTAGTTATCAGTATATGGCTTTCAGTGCAGTACTTAGTGTGTCATAGCTTCTGGCCTTCTGTCTTTAAAGTGGTGTTGGAATTGTTTTAAATATTACTGTACAGATGAAGGAATTACTGTACAGGTGGTGGAGTGTACATCATGTGCTGAGTGGTTAACCTGAAAGTCACCAGTTGGAAACCACTAGCCACTCTTTTGTGTGCGTGTGTGTGTTTTAATCATTTTATTAGGGGCTCATACAACTCTTATCACAATCCATACATACATCAATTGTGTAGAACACATTTGTACATTCATTGCCCTCATCATTCTCAAAACATTTGTTCTCCACTTAAGCCCCCGGCATCAGGTCCTCATTTTCCCCTCTCCCTTCCCACTCCCCCCTCCTTCATGAGCCCTTGATCATTTATAAGTTATTATTTTGTCATATCTTGCCCTGTCCAACGTCTCCCTTCATCCACTTTTCTGTTGTCTGTCCCCCAGGGAGGAGGTCACATATAGATCCTTGTAATCGGTTCCCCCTTTCCAACCCACCCTTCCTCTACCCTTCCAGTATCGCCACTCACACCACTGGTCCTGTAGGGATCATCTGGCCTGGATTCCCTGTGTTTCCAGTTCCTATCTGTACCACCACTAGTCACTCTCATGGAAAAAGATGAGGCTCTCTACTCCCACAGAGATACAGTCTCAGAAACTCACAGGGGCAGTTTCTACTCTGTCCGACAGGTCTCAATGAGTTGCACTCTACTCAATGGTGAGTAGTGAGTTTTAAAGTTGGCTACCGGTGAAAAGTGTGCCATATACAGAAGTCACGTAATAGAAAGTGAGGAATGAAAATGAACAGGCCATGTTTCTGTTAAACAAATACAGTTAGTTGTGCCACGTTCTAAAAGTTATGCCTTGCCCTAGGAGTGCTCTTTTCTTTCTTTCCTTCCTTTGAATGGTTTTCTTGATTCTGTGAAACGTCTAGGCAGATGATAATACAAAACACGAATTATCCTGCTCTGTGACTTTGGGGCATTCATGTATTTCCGTGCTATGATTTGTCTTTATAAACCTGCTAAGTCTTTCAAGGCAGTCCTGCACAGTAAGCTGAACGTGTTTCTAGGACTGTTATTCCTCCCATAAATGGTGTCCTCACCTCGTCTGGCCAGTAGATGGCACTTGTACATAAGTAAGCAGAAGTGTTACCTGACTACGAAATCCAGAAAGCTATTATGGATTTGAATGATCCAAATGGATTTTAAAAAAGAGATGTTGTCACTGATGTCCTTCCATAGGCTGCACTTGGGTGAGATGTGGCGCAGCCAAAAGCAACACCAAGCTGATAAACATCCAAAGATCTAAGGCTAGTTTAGTACTATTTACTGTACAGCAAATCTGAGGCAGGAGTCCACAGGATTGTTAAAATTCCCTGGCTCTGGAGTTAGACTACTTATGCTCAAATTCTGACTTAGCACTTATTGGCAATGTGCTTTGAGCAAATTTCTTAATAGTCTCATCTGTAAGAAGAGAGTAAAACACATACCCACCCTCTTGGGTCAGTGACATGGGGTAACATGGGATAATGTTATCCCATGTTATCCCACCCTCTTAGGTCAGTGTGGGGTAACATGGGATAATGAAGGTACCACCACTGCTGGTCATGGTAGGCATTTATATGTTTGTTTCTAACAACGTGCACATTATGTTCTCAGTGAAGGGTAGAATGAGAGATAGTAAAGAGGTTGTATTTGAGGAGAAACAGTTTGCGATAGAAGGAGCGGCTCGCCTGGGTTTACAGTTGACTTACTAGAAAGCCGATTTAAAGCGGAGGTTGCATGTGAATAAAAAACATGCAAATCAAAAAGAAAGAAAGAAACAGTTGAGTTCATAAATAAACCTTTAAAATTCAAATATAAGAAGTTGATATTGTTGTGTTTTAATTTCTTATGAGGGAGAGACTTTTCTGGGCTATGCCCCCTTTACTGTTCAGGGTGGCACTGGGAAATAAGGGAATGGTGGATATTTTAAAACCACTATGAGACAAAGCAGACAATCATCTTGCTTAATTTAAGCTAGAGTAAAAGCCTTCTCCCACCTCTAGTGACTTGCCTTGTTCTCACAGTTGGCTGCACATTGAATTCATCTGGGCAAGTTTGAGGAAATACTGTGCCTCACACCATAGGAGAAAAATCCATCTTTCTGCTTCCGTAAAACCTGCAGTCTTGGAAATCCACCAGGGCAGTTCCACCTGGCCCATGGGGTTTCCAATAGTCAGAATCGACTTGTAGGTCTCACCTGAGAGTCTGATTACTTGGTTTAAAGGGAGGCCCTGGTTTTTCTACTGTTCTCTTTGCTGGTTGGTTGGTTGGTTGGCTGGCTGGTTTTAAGCTCTCCGGACAATTTCGCGGGAAGGCATACTGGAGACGTGGCCAGCACGTGTTTGCCATGCCACTCTGCAGTCCACTGGGCACAGCACTGCCCTTGCTCGAGTCACTTATGAAAGCACAAATATTCCTGCCAGAGTAAATAATGAAACCATTTCCCACTCATTGACAATTTGCAAGATTATTGAACCAAATGCTTTCTGACAGTCATCTAAATAGGAAACTCAAATTCACAATCATTCCCACAGCGCTGAAAGTCTCTTGGAAATACATGTGTATATCCCTAATCTGTTTTAGGAGTTTTGCTTTATGCACTACTTTTTTTCTTGGAGTAGGGGCATGTGGTAATAGAAAATAAGGTTTGAGCCATACTGCTATGTGCCATTGAGTCGATTGTGACTGACAGTGACTTTTGTAGGACAGAGAATTTGCAATGATGTTTAAATGAATAGCAACAGTTAATGTAACAATGCCCAGTATTCATACAGATTAGAATTAACTAGGAAGAAATGACCCAGTGAGTTAAGATGAAGAGGGAGGGGAATTTGGAGACGGAAATTAAAAACAGCCTGGATGTCAGAGGTTAAGAGAAAGGATGAAGAAATACCAAATCAATGTAAGACTAACACGGATGGATTCACACACTCATAGGCAGACACAACCAGCCAGGCGAGCCAAGCTAAGTCCTTTAAGGGTCTTAAAGTTTAAGGGTCTGAAGAAGATTATGAAGCTCCCTACTAAGTCAAAATAATATAATATTAGATATGAAGTTCTGGGATTTTTTTCATAGCTATTTCTTTGGTGCTTTTTTCTTAAATAACTTTATTCAGACATAACCCACACATATATTTTTCAATGCTTTTTAAAATATGAATATCTTACTACATTCCCCTCCTCATTTTCCCTGATGACCCTGATGGATGACATCGAAGAGTTGAATAAAAATTTTCAAAGGGCAGGTCAAGAAGATAAAGCCAAATACTATCATGAAATGTACAAAGTCCAAGAGTGGGAAAACCCAAGGGAAGAACACTCTCAGTCTATCTGAAATGGAAAGAACCCAAGAAAACATCCAAGTCTTGAGTTGCAATCTTGAAAGATTCTATGGTCAAAATACTGAAGGATGCAGGAAGCATCAAGGGAAGGCGGAAAGAATACACAGAGCCCTCTTGAAGCTGTGTTATAGGCTTTTCTGCGTTTCAGTATCTGGATTGACGAACCTAGGGGGACAGTAAGTAGAATAAGAGGCTTGGGGGGAGGGGGACACGTACAGTGGTGGTGGAGGGTAGAAGGTGGTGGGACCAAGGAGTCCATGTAGAAAAAATTATTTGGAAACTGATTGTGGTAACAATTGTACAATTCTACCTGATGTGATTGAAATATGGAATGATATGATATGTATTAAATCTCAATTAATTAAAAAATACACCGAACCATTGTACCAAAAAGAACTAGTTGGCATCCCACCATTTCAGGAAGTAGTATATGAGCAACAACTTAGGGTGCTGAAGGAAAGCTTTCTAGCTGCACTGAAAACAGCCACAAACAAGGCTCCCGGAATTGATGGAAGACTAATTGAAATGTTTCAGCCAGCGGATGAAGCATTGGAAGCCCTCACTCATGTATACCAGCACATTTGGACGACAGCCACTTGGCCAGCTTACTGGAAGAGATCCATATGTGTGCCCATTCCAAAGAAAGGTGACCCAACAGAATGTTCAACTATAGAACAATATCACACGCAAGTAAAATTTTGCTGAAGATCCTCCAACAATGCTTGTAACAGTACATTGGCAGGAAAATGCCAGAAGTTCAGGCGGAACTCAGAAAAGGGCACAGAACAAGGGATATCATTGCTGATGACAGATGGAGCTTGGCCGAAAGCAGAAAACACCAGAAAAAGGTTTACTTCTGTGTTATTGACTATGCCAAGGCATTCACCTGTGTGGATCATAACAAACTATGGGTACCTTGAGAAGAATGGGAAGTCCAGAACGTTTTTCTGTGCTCATGAAGAACTTGTACCTGGATCCAGGGGCACTTGTACAGACAGAACAAGGGAATACTACATGCTGTCAAATCTGGAAAGGTGTGTGTCAGGGTTGTGTCCCGTCACCATACTTGTTCGATTTGTATGCTAAGCAAATAATCAGAGAAGTTGCCTTATATTATGAAGAAGGTGGCATCAGGATGCTGATGACACAACCTTTGAAGAAATTGACCCATTTAATGGTGAAGATCAAGGACTGTAGCCTTCAGTATGGATTATGACTCAATGTAAAGAAGGCCTAAATCCTTTCAACTGGACCACTAGGTGGCATCATGATAAATAGGGAATGGGTTGAAGTTGTCAAGGATTTTGTCTTGCTTATATCCACAATCAATTATCATGGAAGCAACAGTCAGAGACTAAAAGACCAGTTGAATCAAGTAAACCTGCTACTCAAGATGTTTTTAAAGATTGAAAAGTAAGGATGCTACTTTGATACTAAGGTGTGCTTGACCCAAACTATGGCATTTTCCATTGCTTCTCATGCATGTGAAAGTCAGACAATGAATAAGGAAAATGATAGAAGAATCGTTGCATCTGAACTGTGGTGCCAGAGAAGAACACTGACAGTACCCTGGACTGACTGCTAATTGGGCAAACAAATCTGTCTTGGAGGAAGTGCAGCCAGATGCTCCTGGGAGGCAAGGTTGGCAGGACTTCGTTGTCTCACCTACTTTGGATGTAGTGTCGGGAGAGACCAGTCCCTGGAGACAGACATCATGCTTGGTAAAGCGAAGGGGCAGCAAGAAAGAGGAAGGCTCTCAACGAGATGGATAGACACTGGCTGCAACAATGGGCTCAGGTATAGGAACTATGTGAGCATGGTGCAGGACCGGACAGTGCTTCGTTCTGTCGTGCACGGGTCACTATGGGTCATCACTGACTCGATGGCACCTGACAACAACAAGCATGCGCCTATCGACAAATCTGAGTCATGTACAAATGTGCTGTACATAACTGATGTATGTATGGATTGTGATAAGAGTTGTATGAGCCCCTAATAAAATGATTTTTTTAAAAATCAAAACTAAAGCACCCTTTTGATAAGGAGGGAAAGAAAGCAGAGAAACAAGAGGAGTTTTCATGAAGGAAGGAATACCCTGTGTTCTTACTGTTAGCACACTCCCGCAAAGCTGCGTATTTTCAAATATTCATCTGTTGGCCTATTGTCGCACATGCAAGATCAATTTCTTGCAGGAGTTGGCTTGAGGGTTGGAGATTTCAAATCTCTGTTTGAAACACTGCCCCCCCCACCCCACCCCCGTACCTCTGGATGCCCCCCGATCGGACCGCTGAGGTGTGGTCAGTCGGGCTCAGTTTCTTGCTTGTATGATGTGGTTCATTGCTCCAATCTGGGGAAATGCTTAGAGGAACACAAGAAAGGCTACTACATACTTGCCTTAGTGGTATAGACAAGAGCAGGTTCTGTTCCAGGGCCAGGTTGGAGAGCTGAGAACACCTTTGCAGGGCTCCAGCTTCGAACAAGCTGACAAGGTTGTTGTCCAGAAACAAATGTTTCAAGTCTCGGAGGTCCTGGAAGTCTTGCACAGTCACTCTCTGAATCAGGTTGTTGCTGCAATCGAGTTTTTGTAACCTTGCCGGGAGTCTAAGGGGCAACATTTGAAGCTGGTTTTGAGACAACTCGAGAGTAGTTAAATTGGCAAGGATCTGGGCCCCATCGATGGAAGAAAGTGAGTTTTCTGACAGGTAAAGATGGGACAGATTCTCCAAATGTTTAAGATCTCGAAATCTTACCACATTAAGCTGGTTTCTCTCCATCTTTAAAGACAGCAAGGATTTGGGCAGATTGGCAGGAATTTTAGTCAGTAAGTTACCACTGAAACTAAGAAACTGCAAAGACTGGAGGGAAATAAAGAAGCTACCTGGTACGAGGTGCAGTTTGTTATTGTCCATACTCATACGTTTCAGATGAGGAAGTGCCAGTGGCCCAGCCACAGATTCTATGTTGTTGCCGTCCAACACCAGACTTTGTAAACTGACGAGAGAGGAGAGCATGCTGGGAGCAAGGGAAGAGAGGAGGTTGTTTTTCAGTTCAAGCACTTTCAGTTTCTTCAGCCCTGCAAATTCCGATCCATGTAAGACACATATTGAGTTATCACTGAGTTTGAGCACTTCCAGACTGGCTGGGAGCCCTGTGGGGACCCGTCTTAGCTTATTTTTCCAGAGCTCCAAGGTCTTCAATGTACTCAGCGTGTTGAACGTGTCGTTGTCAACTGTCTCTGTTCCACTGGCCAGAAGAATAAGCTCTTCTAGCGCCACCATCCGCGTGAAGTCAGATAGCTATAGAAAAACCCAGGGTGGGGGGGAAAGCAGTAAATTAAGATTGTTGTTTAAAACATGAAACAAACATGTCCTTTTATCATGACAGCACTAAAGTGCTTTCATTTCCCCTCAGCGACTACTTTTAAATTATTTCTTGGAAAAAATTGAAACATGGGTCCTGACGTTTTTTTAAATTGGCATCAAAATTATACAAAGCACTTATACACATTCTTTAAAGGCATGTACTGATTCACGTCTGCTGCAGGCGGTCGAACCCAGCAAACCCACGTCTAGCCAGAAGGATTCAAACAGTGCCCAGTGGTTTCTTCAGTAGAATGTTGTCTGTGGCATCCTCTTAGAGAAGCCCAACCTGAAAGAATCTGAAAATACTTCCACAAAGCTATTTACAATGCTGTCTCTAGGTTCGATCACAGGGGCTTTTTAAGCTTTGTCCTCACCAACCAGGTCCATGAGGAAGCAGAGAGTCTACCTGCATCTCCATCACTGTGAAGCAAGGAATCCACGCAACCATGCAAGCATATCCCCGCCGTAATGCTATGCCACTCCTGGAGGTAAGTTCATGGTCAAATTCCATATTCTTTGTCCATACTGTATGAGCTCAAGCACCCCAAGTGCTCCCCTTGTTTGCTTACCTAAAAGTTTCACACCTCCTTCTTCTATCATATAACCCTTTAATTGGGTTCCAGAAGTAAGGTCAAGTTTGGGCGGTAAAAGGAACTGTTGTTCCTGGGTTTTATCCAGTTTAATAAATCTTTATTAAAATTCCAACTGTCTTTGAGGACTCAATGAAGCTTGGATTTTTAGTGTACATTCTTGTATCTATACAATTCTATGTATTCTAAATATTTGATGAAAGTATACAGTGAAACCTTTTTTATAATAACAATGCATGAATGATAAACATTTTGCAAGTGGCTTCACTTTATATCACCTAGTCATTATGGGCATCACCACTCTGGGAGGACACACGATACAAATCAAGGACTGTTTTAAAGCATCTCCTAGCACAATGTAGAAGATTCCTATGTCAAGGTGCTCATAAACAGACATGATTTTTCATCTTATTTTATTTATTCATTCAAAGATTTATTTTATTATTTTATTATAAATTAGATGACGTCTACAGAGAAAATTAGTTTTCCAGTCAACAGTTCATATGTATTTTGTTTCATATCATTGATTGCAATTTCTCCTGGGTGACATCACTTATTCCACTTCCCTGTGTTTCTGGTTCTTGCTCATCCTTCCTTCCCAACCCTTCTGAACTTGGTCCTGGGTAAATGCTGCCCTTTTGAACTCAAATGCTTGGTGGTTCTAGGATGAGCATTCCTGCCTGGTATTACTGATCTCTTGGAAGACTTGTGTATTGTGCAAATGGAGCCGTGGTGAGTTCATTTCATTTATCAACATCCTTGGTGGTGAAACCAGGTAAGTGTAGGACTGCTAACCTCAAGGTCTGTGGTTCAAACCCACCAGCTATTCCTTGTGAGAAAGATGAGGCTATCTGTTCCCACAAAGATTTACAGCCTCAGAAACCCTGTGTAGGATCACTATGAGTTGGAATCAACCTGATGGCAGTGGGTTTTCTGAGTCGGGTTGCAGTTATATATTGCTGCTTGCATTTGCTATTTCCTAATGATTCATCAGTTGTATTGTTTAGTTCTTGCCTTAAAAGGGCGGGGGCGTTGCTGTGAGTTGGAATGGACTTGATGACTGGTTGGAGTTGGAGTCTCATAAATAAGAGTAACTTTCATCTTACATCAACTGAGTCTTTCAGTGCCAGGCACGTTTTGTTTGTTTGCTATGAGCACTAGACAGTGGGAGGCAGTAAGTGCAGGAGGTGAGAATTTCAAAAGGATCCCTTGGCCTCTATCCCTCCTCAGCTATCCCATTTGTTAATATAGATCCTGCTACCTGGAGTCTAGTCTGGAGTTGAAAAAGACGGAAGCACTGGACACAAACTCACAGTGTTAGTAAAGCGGAGCTTTAGAGGTTATCTAAATTTCCCATTAAAAGGACAGAGAATTGTTCTCAAAAAAGTTAAGTGATCAGCTGAAGACCCACTTTTCTTTTATCTGCTATCCATTCTGAAGTGGCTTTTCTTAGCTTGCCGCTAATGTAATGTACAGTGACTCTCGACCTAACTCTTTGCTTCTGTGATTATAGCGGACTGACCCCAAACCCCAAAAGGTTGCAGATGACACAGTAAGTCTCAGATGACAGATCTGTGTGAGTAATTTATTTGGAGGGTGAGACAAAATTTGGTGGCAGGGGTTCAGGTTTGAGGGGTTTTGTTTGTTTGTTTTTGTTTTCTTAAACTCTGTTTGCAAAGTATATATATAGATTGGCCTAAATAGTAACTACACTCACATTCTTAATGGAATCCAGTGGATAGTTGATTTCCTTTACCGAGTGTGAGCCCTGGTAGTGCAGTGGTTATGTGTTGGCCTGCTAATGGCAAGGTCAGCAGTTCTAAACCCCCAGGGGCAGCACAGGAAAAGGTGGGAACAATGGCAGTCTCCAGAACTCACGGGGCAGTTCTACTCTGCCTTGTCAGATCACTGAGTTGGAATCAAGTTCTATCATGCATAGCAAACTTTTTGGGGGTCAGTTTCAGTACAAGTTACCTTTATTATCAGTGAGGAAAACTAGCAATTCTCTAATTGCTGTGTCTCATCTTCACAAAGGGTTCGTCCCCTTTACCCAAAGTTCAAGGAGGTGCACGATGGGTCAAAATGTGTCCTGCTGACAAGCAGAAACCTCAAGCCCTCCCCACAGGTTTAGTGCATTCCAATATCTGTGGTTTTGTTTTCTTTTATTTCCGGTTTTCCTGTTATCATATCCATGTTGCAGAAAAGTTTGGTCTCATGGCACAAGCAGTGATACAGACACCCACTGGTTTTTAACTTTTCAGTACAATTTTTGGAGATAACAACAGGGTAAGCAATCTGCCAGACCTGTTCTTGCATTTCCCCGGCCTCCGCAGGACCGTCCTTGAGAGAGATGGAAAGGGATACTCTTGGCTTGGGCCTGCTGGCAGGGTTTTTGAATGTTGCTTAAAATCAAGGCAAGTGGAGCTGGGCTATGGGGCCACTCTCACGGACTTCCAGGTAAAAAGCTGAGTTGCTGCTTTCAATTCCCTGCAGGCCCTGCCCCAACCATTTGAGGGTCACACTCCATTTTGAGGCTTCCTAGAGGACCAGTGTCAGGAGCCCTGGTGGCATAGCAGATTATGTATTGGGCTGTGAACCACAAGGTCAGCTGTTCAAAACCACCAGCAGCTCTGTGGGAGAAAGACGAGGTTTTCTATTCCCATACAGAGTTACTGTCCAGGAAAAGCAGAGGGGCAGTTCTACCCTGTCCTATAAGGTCACTGTGAGTCTGGGTTGACATAGGTCCAGTGCACACACACAGCTGATATGCCCTCCAGGATACAACTAGGCACCCAGAACTGTGTGAAGCTAACCAGTAAGGAGTTTGCAAAACAATGTTGGGATTTTTTTCCCCCTGCTAACTAACAATACTTTATCTTAATGCTTAAAATTCTGTAAAGTATGAAGAGAGACTATAAAAATCACCCTGATGCCCCTCACCCAATGATAAGCCTTAATTAAATATTTGTTTTCTGGGAAGGATGTAAAGGGACTCTTTGTTTCTACAGATGAAGTAATGTGCTGAGATTTTAATTGAGTACCATTATAACCACATTCCCAATTTGCGCTGCTTTTGAAGAGGATCTAGCCTTTCAGCTTGCAGCACTTCAGTGACACTAATGAGATGAACTGATTTATGTTTTGCATATATAGACACAAAGACCTGAACTGAGCCTACATTCTTCAAAATAGGAGTGCCTCAGGTGAGCTAGCTCAGTAGCCATTCAGTGTCACATGCACACAATTGCTTGTTATACTTCTTTCATTGATGCAGCATCCTGAAGGAACTCATCGTTACCGGAGAGCAAAGCATGAATTAATAAACAGGAATCGGAAAGGTCGGAGGACGTGAAAGGCAGAAAATGGGCTGCCTGCTTCCTTCTTTCAAAGCATTAACGCAACATGGATTCTAGACCTGAACGTTAGTGTTGGAGCCGTAATGCTCCTAGAAGAAAACACAGGCGTCACTTTCATGACACGGGTTTGATCGTCGTCGTCTTAGATAGGATACTGAAAGCACACGGATCAAAGGATGAAACAGGAAAGCGGAGTTCATCAAAATGGAGAACGTATGTGTTCCAAAGGAGACCGGGAACAAAGGAAGAGGCCGAGTGGGAGACAAAGTTCGCAAAGCATGCCTCTGATCCTGGGTTTGTATCTAGCATGCAGACGGGGCTTTTGTCACTTGGCACTAAAATGACTAATGCTCAGTTTCAAAGCAGGCAGAGCATTTGCACAGACATTTTTCTGAAGATACACAAATGGCGAATGTGAGAGAGAGGGAAGGCGAAGACGTGGACCCAGTGAGGATGGACGACTCCTTCACAGTGGTTTTGCTTTTTTAAATAAAGGGGGATTGTTGCAAGAGGAGACAAATGTGAAGAAGCGCGTGTTGGATGTAATGACCAGGAAGAACGTCTTGGAGAGAAGCGGGTGGAGAGAAGGGCGCAGCAAGGTCCGGCAGAGGGAGGGATTCCTGGAAGGGCAGGAGAGCGTCCCGGGCTCTGTCTCAGGGGAAGAATGTAGGGAAATAAACAGAGAAGGAGGCGAGCGAACTAAGAGAGGCTGACACTAACGACCTCAGTTTTGCCACCGTGTGTCAATAAAATGGGAAATAACCCACTTGTGGAGAATGAGGAAAACAAGAGACTGGACTCGCTTCCCACAGCCTGCAGCCCCGTTCTCAAAGACACTGCAGGAATGGCAAGGAGAGACAGGCCAAGGGGAAGTGGAATGACAGGTGGGGGACCCCGGAGGTCCAGCTGAGGTTGGAGAGCTTGTATGGGTACTGGTTCCACACCATCTGGCGGTGCCGTCCCCTCCAGCAGTGCCTGCCTGGTCAGTGTCAGGAGTCACAAAGGCACACGATCGCCCTAATTCAAGACGAAGGGGCTGCTGGACAGTGGACGGGATCATGAACTGAGGGGTTCAGAGAGGGAAGGGCTAGGGGACGACGATAAGAACTAGATGGAGCGTCTTGGCAAGCAGGGCTGTGCTTAGAGCTCCTCGCCTCCATGAGTCGGAAAGGTCACTTAAGAGCGTGCAGCTGGAAAGGAAGGCGTGCTCAGAGGGTGAGGACAGGAATTCACAGTTTTACGAGTAGGGAGGTTCCCGGTGGATGAGAACGAGGCAGGTGGATGAGGTGAAATGGGGATTCGATAGATAACATTTTGTGAGTTGAAGGAACTGTGTGAGGCTAGGATGTTGGACAGACGCTCACTCCACCCAAGATGTGTGATTTGTACCAAACAGGAAAGCCCGGAGCCAGGAGGGAGGGACCAGGAGCATAGACGAACACGTAGTATTGCCTGCAGATGAATTAGCATTCTAGAAGCAGGGATTTTTAGGGATAGGTGGATCCATAAGATCTCTCTTTGCTTGAGGGTAGGGACTGTGACCTTTTCCTGTGTTATCCCCAGCTCAAACACAGCTTCACCACCCTAAACACAGCTGAATCATATGAACAAGTCATGCAACGTTTTCATTGTATATGAATTTGAAAATCCTAGTTTAAGGCTGTTGTTACTGTTTCCTTTAAAGAGGGGCACCTGATTCTGTAATTCAAATCAAATAAGCAGAATATACATCGTGTTCGGTCCCTTAAAAGCCTTCTTTTCCCCAAAGGGTTTTTCGAGGAGAAGCAGAGTATTGCTCAGACCTTTCCTTTCCTGCATGAACAATCCTGTCTTTCTCTGGCCTTGCTGTGGTGCACTGCCCTGGAGAAGACAGTGAGCTGGGTTAAAGTCAGCAGTACTGCTGTTCAAAAAACCCAAAGCAATGGCAAGTCGACTCATTCTGTAATTGAACTTGAGGAATAGTATGCTTAACGTTACTGGCTACAAAGCAGCGGTTTAGGCTCATAACTAAGGTTTACCTGACAAGCTCACCCAGTGTCCTAAGCACAAACATTTCAGCATCTTCCCCTTCAGCCAAGTGCTTCCTTGAACACTTAGACCCATGGGGTCAGGCTGTTCTCTGGAAGTAGGCACTCCTGGGTGGGAAGAGGAAGGTGGCGACTAAATAATTGTACTTTTAAAGCATCAAAATAAAGCCCATGACACGTAATTTAAGTTATTGGTGTGTACACTGCACATTCAAAATTGTTAATCATAAAAGAAGACGTGAGCAGTGGATGCCCCCGTGTGGAAGAAAGTATATCCACTCTAGTATATCTCTGCCCCAAACCACAGAGACCACTGTTTTAGGACTTGGGTCTATCAGAGGAAGAAGCAGGGACTCGGAGTGGGAAAATCAGAGTCGTCGAATTTTATATGTAGAAGGGAGTTGTTGTTGCCTAGCTAGTCCAGCCTCTTATTTCATGTAAGTCGGAGGGGTGGGGGGGAAGCAAGGCCAGAGGTGTTTCCACTGATTGACGACAATGGTAACACCTCTAGTTAATAAGAAAGCTAGGACGACAAGCTGAGTCTCTGTGGTAATTTTCATCATGCCAAAGGCATGCCAAACGCAAACGTTCCCCCAGACTATAAAGTCAGAGAAATCCAGAGGACTCCTTGTAGTTCCCACTAAAGAGGTTACCATCAAATAAAAGTCATTGTTAAAAACACATCGAATGAGAACCGAGGTAACTTGGCAACACAGAAACAGCAGCAAATCCCCAAGCGTTTCCTCTGTGTTGGTTTCCACAAATACACGGATATTTGGGTGGTATGAGTTATGTGTGGGTTCTGTTCTTAGGTTCGCCTTGGAAGTCTTGTGTTTAGACATCTTCCAAAATATATCCGCAAGCACCCTTCCCCTAAGAGGATTTATTTATCCTACGTTCTGGTGATATAAAATAGCAATATGTTCTGATACTGTTTTTATTTAAAAGAGCCATTTCTTTACTTTCCTATTCCAATAATGTCCTTTTTAGAAATTTTTGAATAAACATGGAAATGAAACATTATTATAGATTCTGACTTCTTCCCCCTGCCTGGCTAACATATCCATCTCAGTAAAACAGAGAAAGCAGGGAGCTAGTATAAGCATTTTAAGTTACGATCCTTGAAATCAAGTTTAACAACCCACGCGAGCCCCTCACAAAACAGAATTGCTGCAACTCAAGAGTCCAAGTACCTGGAGATGTTTCATTTTGCTGTGGCTGATGGAGAGCCTCTTGGTGGTGGAAGGAAGGCTGGCGGGGACCTCGGTCAGCCTGTAGCACTGCACCACGTGCAGCGCATCACAGCTGCACCGTCCTGGGCAGCTCGGACGGAGACCATCACTAAGAGAAAGCAAAACAAGCGAAGCATAGAGCAGATACATCTTCCAAAACAGGACCTTGCAGGGCGGAGGTGAGTGCCCAGGTAATGCCCCACTCTTTATACCATGAGATCTGATCATAGGAGCTGATGAATGTGTACTTTGTCAATGTGAGAAGACAGGAAAGGGGAAAAAATTCCTAATTTACCTGGGTTAAAATGTTAGCAACCATTACAAAGACAGAGGGGCTTAAACATTGATAAGCTGCCTTAATATTTGTAGGTGAGCAAAACCCAATGTTATTTATGGCTGGGCAGGCTAATCTGCAAACACCTCTACTATCTGTAGTTCCCTTGTTTTGTCCCAGGTGACACTAAGGAATTAGTGAGGAAAGACAAAGAGCTGTTTTATGGTGGGCTATAAAACCCTTGCATTTTCTGTGACCCTATATTAAAACCATTTTTTGTAAGCAGGGCTTTCTTTCATTCATTCGGGCTTTTGTTTTTGCAACAGTGACATTTTATTGCTGGCGGGGACAATGGGATGCAATGTTGAGATAGGCAGGGCCACAGGTGTCTTTTCCAATTCATCTATCCCTTGCTGCACCAAAATTCACTTGGAAAACGTATTTGTTGTTGGAAAGTACTGTTGACATTTTTTAAGAGCAAGATATTCAAATGGATTTGTTATGTGGATCTATTTTAATCGTGGAAGAAAGGGTCTTGGGATTCTTCATAATTATTTCCCTGTGGAATGTAACTGGTCCGAGAGGCAAACTCCCCTGGCCTTGGCCAGCTCTCCTGTGGGGTGGGACTGTGGTCACCGCTGCGGAGGACTTTGAACACATTCCAAGCACAGGAGGAGGGCTTGTCACACAGGTCCAGGGCCTGCATGCCCCTCGCTGCTCAGCCTCTGCAGATGGCTCCTGAGACAGGCCCTGTGACATTGAAAAACAACAACGTCCCCTGTCTCCTTTTGAACCTCACCACTCTCTGCTACAGTTTGCATTTGAAGCCAAACGTTTCTTTTGTCTGATAATCAATCTGTTTTCAGTCTAAAGTCAGGATTTCTGTGTATTTTTACCCAAATACATTTTACTCTTTTTTTTTTCTCCCTCTCTCACTGTTTCCCCTGCCTTTTCTCTTGACTAGCAGAGATAAGATGTGGTGAGAGATTTCTGTGCTGGTCAACATTCTGATTTTCAAAAATCACGATTATTTCTTTTTCTTAGGAATAGAATTTATTTTACATTTTTAAAAGGGTTTTTAGTTGTCAAAGTCATGCTCCGTAAGAGTGAATTTGGAAAATGAAAGGGGAGAGAATGACAGCCAAGATAAAAGAAAACCACCATCGTCCTTGCCCCAAGCACAGCATTGTTTCTCTGGTCGTTCTCTATGCCTGGACTTACACTGCACATCTTCTCTTCCTTGTTTTCATGTGGCATTTCTATAGAGTTACTGCAATTTTTGTATTATCTGTGAAATATTACAACTTTATTCTGCCAATAATTTCGTAAGTTTTTAAACACAGACCACTTTTACATCCCTCCGCCTCCCACACACTGTCTTACTAGAATAAATCAAAAAGGATTCCTACAAAACCACAGAGACCTTGATTAAAGAAGAATAGTAAAATGTAAAACGACTGTTTCTCAACATAGCCTCCAGCAAGGTCTATACATTTGTGATAGAAACCCTTTCCCAGGGAATTCTATACTCTTTAATTTACATTATGTCAGAACAATCGTGTTGGCATCCTCATGGACACAATTGTCTTCATTTTCAATGTTCTTTGAGTTTGGAGAACAAAAGCAAGTCTGAAGGGGCAAGATCAGGGCCATTGGTTGCTTGGGATAAGGTGTTCCAGGGAAATCCCATAGGTCATCCCTCGCTGCCTGTAAAGAATGAAAGCAGATGCATTGTCCGAATGGGGAAAACACCGTTGGTACAAAGAAATGTTCATGCCATTGCGGGTTTCCATTTTCTTCCTACTTCTCCATAGTAGGCTCTCAGGATCATCCTGTGTCCTTTGGAATCTCAAAGAACTACAACTTTTGAACAACCTGTCTACCTTGAATGTACCCCAGCAGGCCCGCTCAAAAGCCACTGTTTGGACTGGGCCTATTTTTATGGTACCTTCATGAGACTGAGACAGGGTATTACTGAGAAAATTTGTCTGTAGCCATCCACTGATCATAGAAACATGTTCAAACTTATTTTATTTGGAATAAACCCATGCATGTTTGAAGTGGAACCTCAGGAATGATACTTTTTAATTTACCCTCACATTACTTTCCATATCATTTCACAGTCTTCATAAATATAGTTAAATGTATAAATATTAGTCTAACAAGGGAATTGAGTGTAATTTGATGGAAAATTTTCAAATTATTGAATTTTCTAGGTTGTGAACATTTTATTATAAACATAAATAACTTTGAACATAAAAAAATCCTAGAATGTTTTGAGAAATCAACAGTGCATATCTTTCCAAGTCCACCTCTGTTAAAATTAAGCTGAGAAGTCAATTTTTTTTCCAGGCAGAATGCAAAATCTTATTGCATTTTTACTACAGAGAAAGTACAGTACAATGATACTGGAATTTCTCCCACTGGGGCATTTGAAGGACATGCTAAACACCTCACAATGCACAGGACTGCTCTCCACCTCCACTCCAAGACAGAGTGATGTGGTCCAAAGTGTCATATAGCACTGTTGCTAAGGAAACCTGCAAAAGCAAAATGTGTGCCCCTATGCCATTAGATAGTGGTCTTCCTTGAATGACTAAAAGCAGAAAGCAAGAAGTATTTGGCCCAATGCCCCATATCACCGAATATCTTGTATGTAAGTGTTTTGGGAAGCAATCATCCTAGAAGGTATTAAAGAAATCTGTAGAAGTGTGCCAAAAGAACAAACAAATCTCTCTTGGAAGAAGTACAGCCAGAGAATGGCCTAGGGCCAGTCAGCGTTTCCTGCTGTTGTACATAGGGTTGCTTTGAGCCGGGACCTCCCCACACCATTCCTGTTGTGGATTTAAGGAGGATTTGAGTATGTTTTTGTCATATTGATGATTTTTATTGGTTTCGTAGTAAAGGCTGGAAAGCACTTACATAGTAAGTGCTGGAAAGATCCTTAGGGATCATTTAATTCATTCCCAGGACAGCCAGGAAGCTGAATCCAAGAGAATGGCCTGCCAAGTTCATGCTGAGTTGGGCCTAGAAAGCTCAGTCAGGATTTCCACACTAAAATTGAAGTACAGAGAGCCAAATGAAGGTTGAACATGATAGTGGAACAGGAGGAAAGTAAAAGGAAATAGAGGCAAAAAACATTTATAGAGGCATAAACACAGGTATGTATGTATATTAAATATATTAATATATAACAATAGGGATATAGGTCTAGGTTCATACATTTATAGGCTAAGTATTACGGTAGCAGATGCACATTGGGCCTCTACTCAAGTCCTCCCTCAGGACTTCTCATAACCTGGCATTCTGTGAGGCTCACCTTTCCAACACGATTGCTGAAGACAAAGTGGGTGCATAAGCTGATGTGGTGAAGAAAGCTGATGGTGCCCAGCTACTACAAGATATAGTGCCTGGGATCTTAAAGGCCTGAAGTTAAACAAGTCATCATCTAGCAGGAAAGCAACAAAGTCCATGTGGAAGAAGCACAGCAACCCGTGGGATCAGGTATCAGGCATCAGAAGACCCCAAACAAACAACCATTTCCATGCAAATGATAGGGGTCAGAATGGAAACCCAAAACCCATCTGTAAACAATTGGATATCCCCTCATAAAAGGGTCCCAAGGAAGGAAGGAGTCAGCCAGGGTGCAGTATAGCACCGACAAAAAACACAATATTCCTCTAGTTCTTTAATGCTTCCTCCCCCCTGATATCGTGACCCCAGTTCTAGCTTACCAATCTGGCTAGACCGGAGCATGTCCATTAGTACAGATAAGAGCTCTTGACACACAGAATCCAGGACAGATAAATCCCTCAGGACTAATAAAGAGAGTAGCGATACCGTAAGGGGAAAGGTGGGAGGAGAAGAGGGACAAAGGGGGAACCAATCGCAATGATCAACATACAACTCCAAGCCCCCTTTAAGGGGATAAACAACAGAAACATGGGTGAAGGGAGATGCAGACAGTGTAAAATAGGAAAATAAAAATAATTGGAAAATTATCAAGGGTTCAGGAGGATGGGAAGGTGAGGGAGGGAGGGAAAAAAGAGGAGCTAATATCAAAGGCTCAAGTAGAAAGAAAATGTTTTGGAAATGATGATTGGCAACATATGTACAAATCTGCTTGATGCAATTGATCTATGGATAGTTATAAGAGCTGTAAGAGCCCTCAATAAAATTATTTATTAAAAATTTTTAAAGAGTGTTAAATGAAATATGATTGTGAATATAATTCTTTTAAAATGTGTTGACTTCTTCAGAAGTAGAAAGTTGAAAAAGAAAAAGATAGTAAACATTTGAAATGAAACCAAAAATTTCTTCTCTATATAATCTTTCTAAACCTCAATTTTTCCCTTCTAAAGAATTAAGGTTAAAAAAAAGAAGAATAATGAAGGTAAAATGGGGACAATAATTCCCATTCCATAGGATGGTAGAAGAAATTAATTTAGGCATGCCAAAATTCTAGCCAATGTCAGTTGTATCAATTAGGGTAATTAGTTGCTACTGACAGAAATAAAATCTGGTTGGTTTAAGCAGAAAAGAAAATTATAGAAGGAATACTATGTAGCACACACAATTCTGGGAAAGTCTGGTTTGGAAATAGGCAAAAAATAAAGGAAGGATATAATGTCAGAAACACAAGCCAACTCCCACCCAGTGTAGCACTGTCACCTCAGAACTTGGATCGCTGGCCTCTAGCACGGAATGAGACACTGGATGCTCCCTGGACACTACTGTGCTGGAACCGAATGAGACCACCCCTTTTCTCCACCCTCCTGCCCCCCCTTCTCTATCTCACTACCTTCTGATTAACAGTTTCAGGTGGGGGATTCTGGGTAGCTGAGCTTAGTCACATGCCTATACTCAAATGGTCACA